ACATTATCAGCACGAAGAAGCCTGGAATCGACTTCTTCGGCCGCGCAGCCAAGACATCTTCAACCGCCACCAAAACTTCCGCCTCCAAAGACGAAGGAGCATGGGAGACATGGCCCGAGGAAGAGTTTGAAGAGGCCGCACGACAAGAACGAAATAACGAAATGAACGAACTCGAGAAGCTGTCTCAGGAACAGGAGCAACAGCAAAGCGAACAGCCGCCAGCCGAACCACAGTGGCAGTGTCCTATTTGCTCTGTCCCGCAGGCGCCGGATGATGCAAGCTTCAACGCGCACATAGACTTTTGCCTTTCCAAACAGACTATCAAAGAGGTTGTCAAGTCTACAACACCGCTGCCGCCCCCTCCGCCAGCTTTCGAGAAGCAGTCTAGTGTCTCCAAGACAGTGTCCAAGAAGGGCAAGCGCGGACGGCCCAAGAACGAAGGCACGTCTTCGGAGCAGGAGGCTAGGGAGAAGAGACGAGCGTTCTTTTCGCTCGGAAATGGATAGGTAATACAGTTGTTATACGACTATTCGAAATACCGGGACCAGGTGTCGCGCGCGTGATGTGATCGAGACGAGAACGTGGGGCAGTCGCGAATGCCGACTGTGCCACACGAATGCATACCTGAGCGTCCGTACCACGCAGCCGAAACTAAAATGGCAAGCTACAACACACGATTATAGCTCACAACTTCTAACACATCGCTGCAATACGCGCATGCTATGCCGAGAGTGATGACATCCGCGCGTCCGGCTAGCCAGCACTTCTGGGAAAACGCAGAGCATCTGTCTCTCCGCATCTTTGCACCGGTGTGTGTTACATAGCCTCTTCTAAGACGGCTCGACTCCACAGCGCACAACATGCCGCAATAAGTTACAGTTTATCTGCACAAATGTCGGTGCTTATTTCCGATATAAGCGAGGACTCCTGGATCGTACGGCCACACGCGTAACCTATCCGGGACGCATGTGCGCGTTGTCAGCCTTGCAGCTGCTGCCTTATCATCGGTGAAGGTATATATTGCGGGTTTCCAACTACGATGTTAAACATCTTACTGAAACAGCGGCGAATTTTCTGGATTTCAGTCCAAGAAACGAGCGAGCAAATACTACGATTTACAGCAAAGAGAAGAAGATTGACATCCGCAAACCCGATTATCACAACGGAACATGAACCATGGAGAACGATCTAATGAATACTGCGACATCTATAGGGTCGGATTGTTTTGGAGAGATAGCCATAATTTCCGAATACACCTTTGAGCGAGCTGATGCTCGACACTGGGCGTCAAGGCGCATCCGCTTCTTGGTCTATGATGACTCCGATGTCAAACTTGACGATTTCGACAGTGACGACGAAGAAGCGCAGGAACAATACGCTTTAGACTTGAGTCTTGGAAATGTCAAAACCCGAGACCCAGAAGGAGGTGGTGAGGTTCCGAATGCAAAGGGAGTCAGTGTTGCTGAACGCTCAGAACAAGCCAACGAACCCACACAAACAAAATGCCGCGTTTGCGCATCATATCCCGAGTTCCCGCACAGGTGGAAGCCTAGAAAATTCCGTCTGGTCAATCCGGTGGTTGATCATCCGGAATGGTTCAGTGAGGACGGCGTCGGCTCGTGCGACATGTGCATACATTATGTAGCGGTGTCATACTGCTGGCCTCCTCGTGGAGAGAACCCGACTCCGAGAACCTACACGGTCCGTGATCTCGACGGACGCGTCCGCGCCAGTCGCGCTCTCGACGATGTTCTAGATCGTGCTGTGGACTTTGCCAATTCATACGGATTTCGCATGATATGGATCGATCAAGAATGTCTTCCCCAGCCGACTGAAAATAGCCCGAAAGAAGACTGGGACGAGCAGGAACTTGGAATACAGTCGATGGATATTGTGTACAACAGAGCTGTTGTCACGGCGGGTTTGCTCGACGTCGAAATCACATCGCAAGAGCAACTTACAGCTATCGAAACTTTGCTATATCCTGATCAACGGAAGTCAAGTATGATAGACCGCCGCTTCTGCGAACAAATCCTCGACTTTCTTCACAGAGCCAGTCAAGACCGTTGGTACACCCGTGCGTGGGTCGTCCAAGAGGCTATATCTTCTGGAGACGGACTGATGCTGGCTTTCCGGCGCGGTCCAGGTCTTACCTTCCAATCCAGCTTTCGCTTTGGGCGAGAGGAGGGATCGGATCTCCGTCCTTACCATTCACTCGACGACGATCGTGCAATCTGGGAGTCAGAGCTCATTTGCATGCACTTGCGTGGATTCTGGCGCATTCTCGACCAGATGCAATCTCTGCTTACACGCGACTTCGTTCGTATGGGAAACTATCTTGCTCGATCTGGGCTCGGGTCAGAAGAACTCTATCCGGGAGCTCGATCCGTGCTTGAAGTAGCAGACCGCCTCCATCCAAGAACCGAGAAGGCAAACACAATTAATCAGATCGTACAGGCTCATACCGAGGGGTTCTACGGGAAGCGTCCTACGATCAACGCTGCGGGAGCTCTGACATTGCTGAAGCATCGCGAATGTTACTTCAATGCTGACAGACTTGCTATCATAGCGAACATGTGCGATTACGACTTTCGATTAGACACAAAGAAAGTCAACGCCAATTGCAGTTCACTGCGCCTAGCTATATTGACACTGACGTTGAGTAATGGCGACCTGTCTTTGCTAGCACCAGAGGCGTATCTACCTGAGGGCCATGAGGACCAAGAAGAAACCTACGCTGGAAGTGCATCGAGCTCGACCCTGTTCCAGAACATCTTTCTGGAGGCGAATCGAATCGATTACTGTGAGGTTCGCGACTACATCAACATACGACTCCAAACAAGCAGACAGGGTAGATTCACTGCCGAGGGAATGCTTCTCCATTCGTATCTTTGGTCGGTCGATCGCGAAATCGACTTTACACCCATACAGGCGGAGTGGGCCGATACATGGGAATCCTACAAATGCTGGGTCATACTTTTTGAGCGCCAGAAAGACGAGACTGTGGAACAAGCTCGTGCGCGTCAAGTGGCATTTATCCAGCGGTTCAACCAGCCAGATGTGGTTGAACAAGCTCGTCAGGATTTCCGCCGCTGGGGTCATATCCCAAACGGATCATCTGTATGGGGAAACCTCGACCACACCGGCATACAAGTAAAGCGCAAACTCGATGCGAAACGCGTCAAGCAAGTACCCGCGATGCGCAACACAATTTCTCAGATCATCTTTGGCGTTCTCCGGTATATCAAGTACACGCTGGCCGCATCTGAACACGAAGGAGGATTAATGGAGGGTCTGGCCAACAGCATATGGCAATCCGTCCGCACAGATGGAGTCAGCTTGGAGCACCAACTACCAGATGAAGTCGACAATACGCTGTTTGCCCACCCCGACGTTGTGAACCAGCCTTTTGCCACGCTGCAGCTGGATGAGACTTTCGAAACGAGCTTCGCACAGTTGTGGTTCATCGACCGCATCATGCAGCACGGCCGACTCTGGTGTGGAACGTACACGCCACCCAAACGACCAGCCCGTCTTACCTCACCTCCCGGCTCACAGCCCAAAACCACCTACGAAGAAGACCTAGCAGCGCACAACGAACACCTCTCCGTGATCCCGGAATCCCAACGCTCAATCATAAGCCGTCAGCTCGCACGCCAGTTCCTCACCGTTGGCGTCGAGAGCACGCTTGCTAGAAAAGGGAAGCAAGGGAACAGCCGCCACGCCATGGTGACGTTTCCAGAGGTTCTGCGCAGGGATCTGTGGTCCGATCGGAAAGAGAGAATACGACAAAGAACGCTCATGTCCGCCTTCGATGTGGATGGACCTTGTCTGGTGGCGACGCCGTATAATCCTGAATGGGAGGTTCTACCGCGCCCAAAACTCCGTAGCACGAGTGTGTGCTGGGTCGTTGAAGTGAAGGACAGTGGTGTATCTGCTGGGATGGAGGACGACTCGCTGGGTGTGGTGGACTGTGGTTTTGCGGGTGAAAGAGAGGCCAAGGGGAAGGGGAAGGGGAAGGAAAGAGCAGGCGTTGAGTCACCAGAAGCTGAACCTGACAGAGAGGCTGATGATGGGAAGGCTGGGAAGCTTCTGGAGCGGCGGGATCTCGATCTGAGGGTGCTGAGGAAAGTGAAAGGGTTATGGCGGATTATGGATCTTCCTTCTCAAGTGTATTTGTTCAGTTAGTGAATTGGCGTTGAAAGACCTAGGGCTCGTAGGTGATACCGCTTAATGCATGATTATTGACTATTTTCCCCTGTGCCGCAACCTTTTTGAGCAGTTTGTGCATTCTCCTAATCCATGAAAGAAATAATACAAACGAAAGCAAAATGGGTATATGCAAGCAAAACGATGCCTAGATCCAATCAATGCCAGGCCATTTTTTTCCTTCCACCAATTTTAAACCGTACATCTCTCCCATCCACAAACCTCCCAAACCGCCACAGCAATCTAATCCCAACCTCATGTATCCCACGTCCCCCTCTCCCTCACGCGTCTCGCATCTCTTCTTACAACCGCATTCGCATTCGCGCCCCTCCCACCATCCCTCCCCCCATACTCCTCGTCTTCAAAATTCATAACACGATACCCATCCCCCAAAACCGTACTCTCCCTCCCTTCCCTCCACGTCCCCCCATCCCCATCCATCCTTCTATCCCTATTACTTTCATTGTACCCCGGCGGAACCGGCCACTGCATCTCACCATCACCATCATTCTCCTCCGCGCTAAACGGATAGCTGCCTATATCTGTTGTCAAACTAGCTGTATGACTACGCGAACTTGCGTTGAGGGAGAGGGGCGGTGGGAGGAGAGAAGCTTGTTGCCGGTTTATGAACTCGTTGGTGTGTCCGGAGTTCGAGTAGTCGGAGTCTGTGAGGAGGAAAGTGGCGTCTAGGCGGGAGGTGCTTCGTTGGGAGGGGTGGGTGCGGTCGCGGTCGCGGGAACGGGGGCGGGTATTGGCGTGGGTGTTTGGAAGAGGGGGGAGGGCGAGGGAGTCTAGGCGGGGTGGGGAGTAGGTGTCGTTTCTGTTGATGCTGTTGATGCTGTTGATGCTGTTGATGCTGTTGATGTGGTTGTTGTTGTTGTTGACTTGATCACGAGCTGCCCTTGGTCCGAACGTCTCGCCTTGTAATCGCGGCTTACGGTCGTGGAATTCATCCTGGATAACCTTTTCGTTTTCACGCCGCCGTTCAAATTCTTGCCTGAAATGAACACCTGCGTTATGGGACAGGGAGAGGTTGTTGATCTTCTCCCCAAGACGACGAATATCGTTTTGCATCAACGTTGCGCCGTCGAGATTATGCGAAACCGCAGTCGGAGGCGGCGGCGGAAGAGCGTGTTGAGGCGGTGGACTGGGGAAATTATGCGTGGATATCTCCGCACGTCGTGCTTCCTGGTGATTGTGATGGTTTAGACGCTCGTTCGCGTTGGTTGATGTGGCCTCGAGTTCTACGGGTGCGGACTGCGCGGGCATGGGGTCCCAGGCGCGCTGCCAGCACCAGGAGCGTTGTTGGCGGGCTTCTAGGTGCTCGATCTGGCCGTTGCTTACCCATTCAGGCATGCGCTTTAGATCGGTGTTGAGGAAGGAGCGGACGCCGTCGGTGTGTCTGAGACCCTGGACATCGACGGATAGGGTCGAGAGGACTTGTAGTATGCCGTAGAGGAGGACCCAGCGACCGAGACGGGCTTCGCGTGGTGACATGTGTTTCAGGTCGGTGGTGAGCTCAAATTGTTCAAACTTGTCGATAAGTGTGGATCCTATCGAATGTCAGTGCGTGTCATCAAATGGCAATCGTGTATCAATTACCGTTGAAGTTGACATCTAGCTTCTCAATGTTCGTTGCATCGCTGAAGATGATAGAGAGCTGCAGTTGAGCCTTTGCGTCCTTCGTAGCATCCTTGGGTTTGTCCTTCTTCAACGACGAAAAGAAGCTTTTCTTCTCCTTGTCTTTACTCGTCTTTGGCACTTCTCTTGGAAGCAACGGGTATGGATGCGGGATATGCGCATAGCCATTCTTCGCATCGTACGTGACCAGCATATCTGTCATCCCCAGCTCTGGCAGGTCTGCCCTGAAGCTGTCGTTCTTCCTATGAGCCATTTCCCACTTACGGGAGGCCCGCTCCTCTCGAGGATTCCAAATCACGTCCCTATCAACGAAGTAATCATACAGCGAACCAAAGTCTTCTTGCATGGCGTTTACAACCTTGCGATTAAGCCATGTCTTGTCGGAAGTCGGCGGCCAGTTACCGTAGATGCGTGTGAAATGCCCGATAAGAAACTGGCGAAACGATTGATAGCTTTGATAGACTGGACTGTTCGCGGTCTTCAACTTGTCCTCCCAAAGATCACCAAAATCAAATGTGGACAGCTTCTCCTCTGCTTCCATGACGCGCAGCTGCAGCGTCTTGGCAGCCAATCCTAGGTTTCGTCTCGTGACTACTGAAAGACGCTTGAAATCTGGATGGTCCTCAATCTCCGGTGTCATGACACCAGCCAGGTGGACGAAGCTTTCGAGGTAGCCTTGTCGCCATTTGACGCTATCCTGTTCTGCCCAAGCCAGAAGCCCAAGAGCTCGTCGGATGTTGTTGCGCAGGTCGTCAATTCCATACCGGCCGAGATATTCCACTATCATCTGCACGCTCCGTTCCCTGGCCGTCATTCCAGATCGTGTGTCCGTGTCAAGATCGTACATGACGTGTATTTGAGGTTGCAACGTACTCAGCATATCGTACACGTCTGACCCAACTATGGGCTTGCCATGCAACATGGCCAGAAAATTTCGTATAGCGACATGGTGGAGTCTTTGTGCCTGAGGTGTCTTCACATTGTCGGGCGCTGTGAACCATATTTCATGTGTCGGATTGCGTTGAAAGCCTTGCTGGAAAGGAGGCGGCGAGTTAGGTTGGCGTCCGTGAGAGGCCTCAGATGGATGGTAAGCCCTAGAAGTAGCCCGAGAATCTATACTGGTATGTGACTGATCTATATCGAAGGGAGGTGGAGACCGTCCACCGGGTGATGTGGGTCCTAGCATTCGCCTTTGTGCCGGCTGTGGGAAGTTCGGCGAGAAAGGCTGAGACGGCGAACTTGCACTTTCCGAGAGAGCCCAGTCATCCACGTCGTTATCATCGATGAGACTATACAGCAGGGCATTGCTCAGCCAGGTAGATCCAGAGTTCTGGAGGACATCTAAATCTGCCCGAATCGAGGGGATTGGATGGTCCTCGTCTACTTCCTCTTTGAAGTATATGAGTACGCTGCCATGTTGCATATCTTCGTCATAGCTAAACCCGGCGTATGGACGCATTTCTTCTCTTCCATCTGTCCATATCTTGAAGTTCAACCATGTTTTCTGGTCAGACGGAAGAGCGTAGGAACCCGCCGATGACTCAGATCTGAAGACGGGAGGGCCGGGTGACGGCGCGACGGTCTTCTTGATCGGCACTCCTCCACCCCTACCACGAGGGGCCTTCGTGTCTTTGCCCTTAGCCTGATATTTTATCTTCTCCTTGCCTTTCGAAGAAGTGTCTGAGACTGATTCTGCCTTCGATGATTTCGTTTGCGGAGGTCGGGATCCAGAAGAGACATCAGACGGAAGGGTGGCCAGTCGCGGCCTGCTACTATTCCCGCCATCGTGCGTAGAACTACTGCGCGATGTAGTATGACTGTTGTTGCTGGATACTGTGAAGGAACGCGTCATGCCACTTCTCGGGTTGCTGCTGGGGTTTGGTGATGGACGCCATTCCGCAAATCCATCTCGGCTTTCATGTGTGGCTTCTGGCACCTTTCCTTTTACAGCAACTTTCTTTTCCTTTTTCTCAACTTCTTTCTGTTGTACCTTGCGACTACGAGCGCCTCGTGCTGACATATCCTCTTGGAGTCGATAACAAAACCTCGATCGGCGACAGGCTGGATGATTTGTTCAGACAGGGTCGCTTGATATCTCCAATGCACCCAAGGTGATATCAGTCCCTGGCATGGGCTTCGAAAGATTAAGAAATTCGTCGGAAGGCAGTGGGATTTGATTAGGAGTATACTGCAGTTCGGTCCCTCGTATATTCGGATGAATGCTATTTTTGCCGCGTGAATCCAGACACGAAAAGAACGAGATGCGCCGGCTGAAAACGTGGTCGTACCTGATTAGAAACTGACGACTGAAAGAGTGTGCAATGGCATGAAAATGTACGGAATTGAATGGACAAGAAATTCCACACGCGCGTAGGAAAAACGCGAGGGGTAAAAAGGGTGACAGCTATGCGGTACGGAGTTGTATATATTGAACCTATTCTCGAAAACCCATGTCCGCTCGTCCCGCCGTACAGGATGTGGAGCACAGGGCAGTAAGCAGTGATCAAAAGCGGTCTGGCTGCTGATAAGGAACGCATCCTACCGAGTTGCTGCAGGTTAATCCGCGAAGCGAACAGCCCAGCACAATGGCAGTCCCTATTGCGGACGAGGTGCATCGTGCGTGTGGAGAGACCAATAGCGACCCCAGTGTAATGGCTTGGATGGCAGACCATGGCAGTCTGTGATAAGTCCGGCTGATTCTTGTGCTTCTGGGCGGTCAGCACATCCCATCACCATGCAGCAGGAAATGAAAAACAATCCTTAGGCGCAGGCGAGGATGCAAAGGAAGAGCGGCACAGGCGAGCGGCGTGAGATTTGAACGTCTAGGTGGTCCGCGGTGCTGCTCCATAACGTCCGGATTCACGCAAGGTATCCCTTGTGTTTGGGGCGCTCGGCCCACAGCGCTGGGTGATGAGCGCAGAGACGTTTGGCCGGGTCGAATCTCAGGTGATTGCTGGCTGTCAACGGCCGCTTGCTCGGCGGTTCTGCCCAGCATCCACGAATAACGTCGACGCCCATGTGCCGTCTAGGCTGAGGGAAGCGGGTTGGGCGCCGACAGCTGTCTAGGCCCACTCTCAGCTGCGGCGTGTGTTGTTGTGGTTCCACGCGAAGCAGCTAATGCGCATTGAGCAGCGAGCAGCGAAAATCAAAGCATGGCAGGATGCGAACACTTTCTAGTACTTCGGCGTAGTTTGAAAACGTGTTCTACCGCCGGCGCATGGCGTGTTTGAGGTGTCGTCGTAGGATGCGGTGTTGTGGTGTTGTGGTTGGCTCGAAATGAGGAAGGCACGATCCAGCCACACAATACCAGCCTCCCCCGCCTTCACCAATACCCACCACCCGAGCAGACATCCCACTTTAAAGTATACATCCCGGTTTCCGTCGACTATACGTCACTCCGCAACACCGCGACCGTTCTGCAACCCGATCGCAAAGCAAGACGCATCCTGGTCTGTTGTCGCTGCAGCATCTTAAAAGCGCGCTGCCCTGCATTTCCTCAGCGCCTTGTCGTCGTCTTGCATCTCTCACTTGGTCGCATCGCACCTGCTCCGTTACACGGCATCAACCAACCGTGGTTCAGCTGACAGCCCCGACCAAAGCAAACTCATCTTCTCACGAAGCATCTGCGGTACCTGTCAACTGCCATCATGTCGTTCTCCGGACTATCCTTCATCTTTTGGCGCATCTTCCAGATCATCACCCTCATACCTGCGCTGGGTATGCTGGCGTGGTTCGTCGATTGGTACAACAGCCGCAACCTGCTCACACCCACGTCCATCCTCGTGCTCTTTATTGTATCCGTCCTCGGCGCAGTATGGGCTCTAGGCACCCTCTTCCTCTACACGCGCGCAAAGCACTCGGCTAAATTCGTTGCCTTTATCGATCTTCTCTTCATGGGCGCCTTCATCGGAGCCGTCTACGCTCTTCGCGGCATTGCCGATGCTGACTGCACCAACTGGCGTCGAAGTGGTTCTTACAGCACCGACTTGGGTCTTTTCACCGTCAGTGGTACTGGATTCGGAGTCGACACCAACCGCCAATGCGCCATGCTCAAGGCCTCGTGGGCGTTCGGTATCATGTAAGTTCTACTTTTCGAGATCGAAAGCGATCCCGAAGCTAATGTCTCCGCAGGAACATCATCTTCTTCTTCATCACATCCATCCTGGCCCTCCTTGTGCACCGCCACCACCGCAACGACCGTGTCGTCGTCAAGCGCGAAGTCCACCGATCGCGTCACGGCCACCACTCCCGCAGCCCCCGCGCGAGCCACAGCCGGAGCCGCCGCAGCTACGTCTAAGAAGCAGACGAGAAATGTATGATGAGGATTATCACGGGTACTGGAGTTGGGGTTTGGAAACATCTGGCAAAAGGCCATGGTCAGATCTTTACGAATTTCTTTGGACATATTCCCCCTTTGATTTTTGGTAATTGGGACGCTGGGATGCAAGCAACGTGGTTACGAAGTTTGTTACGAGGATATATCCTGGATGTCATGTAGATTAGCACGAATTTTGTAGATAATTGCTTCATTTGGCCTTTGGTTGCGAGCGAATCCATGCTCTGAACTACAGCGAAATGAAATGTCAACCAACACTTCCAACAACAATATTTAGCTCACAACAACAGTTTGTGCCCAATGTGCGATGACAGGCATGTTGACCACGTTGCGAAGTCTCTTGTACCAGGATGTTCGTTGTTCACCATTGGTGACGTTGACTCGCATCGCCTTGGTTCTTGCACCCCTCCAGGCCAACCCTCGTGTCAGCACACTAACTCATTCGACCAATTCACATCCGTCAAACTCAAGATACATGGTAATTGGGTTTGATATTTTTACAGATGCGTCGCGCGTTACTCCATGCAAGCACTCATATATGCAATTCCACCCCATCATGATACTGGTACAATGCAGTCTTACAGTCCATAGCCACTCTCCCTCTTTCTACCACACCCTGCACAGCGCCATGCCACCCAACTGCCGCTCCACACATTCCCTCGCCTCCAATATCCCCCGGTCCGTCGTGACAAACATGCACTCTCCCGGCCTAGTCAAACCCTTCACATAGCTCGACTCTCTTGTCCGCGTGATCTTAGCCAGATCCTCGCTCGTCAGCCATATCCGCCGTGTGGGCTTGGATATCAGCTTCATATTCTTCAGGACAGGCTCGTTCTGCCAGTACTTCAGGCCGAGCCATAACCGTCTCCGCGCGGGGTTCTGGGGTACGTGTACGTCGTGGATTTGTTCGGCGCCGAGTGGTGACTTTTGTTTTGTGCCGGCGGGGGCGTCGACGGGGTAGGCGAGCCAGGGCTCTTCTGCAAGCTTCTGTGCCATTTGCTCGTGTTGCTCTGGGTCTTGCTGCGTTTGTAGCAGGAAGGGCTTGGGTGGTGTGGGCCCGCCGAGGGTGACGGAGGAGAGGAAGCCTTCGCGCTGGAGGCCGAGTGCGATGTTGACGTGCATCTTGGAGACGGGTATTGACGTCAGTCCGAGGCGGGCTTTGGACGCATTCTGCATGTGCGAGCAGACGTGGGCGAGGTTGACGAGAGACATGTTGGCGGGTGTGGATGTGGGAATTTGCCCTCGCTGGGCTGCGGCGGAGGGCGAGCGCGATGGGTGTGGGCGACGGTATGTCCAGTGTATGTGTTCGAGTTGACGGCGAGGGTCAATGCAGGGTGCTGGCTCAATTGCGCGTGCCGTGGGTGGATGCTCGTGCTCGACGATGCTCGATGCAGCAAATTTCTGGATTGGCTCGGAGGTCCGCAAGTCACGGGTGGAGCAGAGCTGCCCGCTGCCCATTCGGCAGAGCTTGGGCCGGCGCCTACTAGACAAGAACTAACCCGCGGGCGCTTCGAGCACGACGCAAATAGAAGAGCGCGCAGCTGTTGGCTGCACCCGTGGGGAGCTGAGATGACAGCCTTGCGACCCTATATATGTCACAGTTCTCTTGATGCTGCTGCGAGCGTGCTGACTTCCGTCTTACTTCACTACAGCTACTCCTAGTACTCCACATCTTGGCCCGGATATATCTTGGACGCCTGATAGACTGCCAGCTTACACTAACACCATGCCTCCGCAGCAGGGAGAAGTGTCCCTCTTGACGCTGTAAGTAGTGGTAGCTTTGCCTATCTTGATCCTATACTGACTGTGAATAGTTTCGCAGACGTCCACTATTACATCTCCCCGCCTACCCAGATCCCCCCGCACCACCGCTTCGACAAGAGCTCTTATGTCTATCTGTACCACAACCCTATGCGCCAGAGTGGGCGCATAGAAGTCGCGAACCATGCGGGCACTCCCAACCAGGATGCCTTTTCAGGCCGTGAGTGCTGACATATTTGCCCATCACACACGAGCTGACATGCTGCATAGAGCTGGACACCGTCAAGATCGAACACACATACAAACACCCATGTCTGTTCACCCTCACGGTCGACGCTTTCCGGAGTCACAATGGCAGCGCGAGCCCCCACCAAGACACGTCGCAATGGCATCTCCCCACACCCGATCCTTCGAACCAGGGCAAATACATGTACAGGCTGCACACGGTGGACTTGTACTTCTGGACGCCAGAAGACGCGAGCCTCTTCCTCGACTCTATACGGAGAGTGCTGCAACCACACCAAATGCAGATTGTGCGCAACCCCAATGCAACACCAACGCACTCGGAGCACAAGAACGATGCCCTGAGCCCAGTCATCGCAAGGCTGGAGAGCGCAGCCATATCACACACAAGCCGCACTCCGAGTGTTAGCACAACACAGTCATTCCCCGGCCCTCCCACAGCACCTGCCCCTACATCACCTCCTCCCAGCGAGCAGCCACCCAACTACGCTCCAATGGCATACAACCCGGCTGCTCCAGCTGCGCCTGAGCCAATTGCTCATCGCGAGAAGACACCACCTCCACCAGACGCCAATGATGGTACGGGACTTGGGTCTGCTGCAGTCCATGATCAGCACGCAGCGCAATACGGCAACCCGTTACAAGCTTCGTTCGCGCCTCAACCGACATCTGGGGCATACTTCCCAGGACCACCAGCGCCCGGCCAGGGCTTCACAGGCCCACCGAGTGCATCCCAAAGTCCGCCATCCTTCGCACCACCCCCGTCTGCCCCTCCACCAGGCCAATACAACGGCACCCCACCACCCCCAGCCATGAAGCGAACATCCACAGCACCAGTCCACCAATACGCCAACTACCCATCCTCGCCTGGCTTCCCTCCTGCCCCCCAATCTCCTCCCGCGCATTCTGCATTACCATCTCCTGGATTCCCTCCCCAGCAATACCAGCCAATGGCTTCTCCCGGCTACGCACAATACCAGTACGGTAGTACAGGAACTCCGCCACAAGGACAGAACCTGCATCAGCAGCTGTACAGACCAACGGAGAACGAAGCCGCAGTGCAAGACCACGAGAACCCCAACGCACCGCAACGCAACTCCAACATCGGAAAGCGGGTAGATAAAGTGGAGAAGGGAATTGGCAGTTTCTTGAAAAAGTTGGATAAGAAGTTTTAGTCTATCATACCTCAGCACGCGTGCAGTTCTTGTATCTATTGTATTTACCTTGGAGTTGAATTAGCCAGCGTCGACTTCGTTCAAATCATTTACTCGAAAAAATATACTGTATAACCATTTTGAAAATATGTAACTCCCTGCAGCCGTTATTGCGACCAGCGTTTGTCTTGTCTGTGCCACGGCGCTGTAGATCAAACATGTGAATGCGATCATCCTGCAGTATGATGCGCCAATCAGGTGCCGGCGCTAGTGTGGACCTTGAATCTGGGAGATGGCGCCTAAGAATAGCAGCAGGTTTTGGAGATGACATGAGGCTTGCTTTTGGCGTCTGCCGCTGGCTGATTGTCATCTTGCATAATGCATAACTGTTGAGGATGCGATTGAACGTGTAGACACTGAGATGCCCGAGCAATACCATACTGTGTCCTACTGCACTGTACATGCTGCATTCTTCCTATTTCGTTGTGCCACAGCCCCTGGTCACAGCTCCTATCATCCCGGCAACCCCATCAACACTCAGCCAGCTTGCCAAGACCAACTTCCGGGCGCAGACCTAGCCAGACCATTACTCGCGGCTCTCCCCCATTGTTGTTCGGTCGTTCCGTAGTCGCCAAACTATACACCCATTAACCCCCCATATCCTAACCGCATCCACGACATCGCTTCCCGCCGCTTGTCCTTAACGTTTTGCCCTGACGTTCGCACGACACAACGGTTCGACAGCTCCCTAGTGCCAAACAGAGCCGGGCGATCCACACTTTTCCAAACAAGTGATCTCATTGTGCAAACAAGACTCCGGTGACAGGTTCTGGTTGACGCATTTGACGTCTGGACGGGACCCGTGCATGGTTGTTTGGGTGCCATGTTGTTACCCGCGCGGCATGCAAGGGACGGCGCCCTCGAGAGGAGAGAAGTCTCCAAGCAGGGCAGGACCTTTGTCGTAGTAAGTTTACGCCATCGCTCTACCATACTCTACCGCACACTGGCTAACCCTGCATTGCCCAGGTCGGAATCATCGCCGTCGCCATCTTCGCCATCCTCATAATCACATACTTCTCAACCCTCAAGTTCCGCGCCCCGTACCGCGCCGCAAAGAAAGCACAACAGTCGTCCGCCGACAAACTTCCCTCGTTATTCTCGTGGAAAGCGTTCCGCAAGCGCCCGCGCCGAAATGACTACTCGACCAGTCTGCAGGATACGGAGTATCGGGGGAGCACCAGCAGGGCGAGTGGTGAGATGAGCGGAGCAGCGGCAGGAGATCCGGAGAGGCAAATAAACAGCACGACCGGTGCTGGCGTCGATAGAAATACCTCCGTCCGTAGCGTCATGACACTCCCCGCCTACTCGTCCGCCGCACGAGAGAACGAGCGCGTCCTAGCCCGTGAAGGCGAACGCGGCGGCGTAGACACAGTCCTCGAGCTCCCAGAAACCGTCGACGAAGAAGAGCGCCAACGAGAAGAAGAAATGGAATCCCTCTACCAAATCCGCCTCGCCCGCCGCATCGAAGCCACCGACCGCGAAGCCCGGCGTCAAGCCAGACGAGAAGCCCGCGCTCGCGGCGACGTCCAAGCCCTAGCTGACATACGGCGCCGCGCAGAAGAAGCCGCAGACCTCTCCGTCTCCCAGATGCTCATCGCAGAGCACCAGGCGCGGACCCGGTCGAGAGACAGACGCGTGAGCGCTGTCGCATATGGCGACTTAGGCGTCGCGCGCCACGACGGCACACGCCTCCGAGCCAACTCCTCCGAAAGCGATAACAGACCCCTCCTCGACTCCGCCGCCTCCTTCTCTGGTCAATCCCGCGGCCGTGACGCCCACGCCCGCGGCCTCTCCGTTACATCTCTCACACAATCCGTCGAATCCCGCGGGTCGGACGATTACGACTTTGCGGATGCGTCAAGATCGAATTCACATTCTACTGCTGGGCCTAGTCCTGGTCCCAGTCCAAATACCGAGGGGTTCGAGGTTGTGAGCTTGAATCCGGAGGGGAGTTATAGTGGGAGTGGAAGTGGAAGTGGAGTTGGCGGGAGTGGACCAGTACCAGGCGAAGACGCGCCTGCGTATGAAGATCCCCCGAATTACGAAAGTCCGATTAATACGAGGGCGCCGCAGTTACCGGCGTTGAATCTGAATTTAGAGCGCTTGCCTAGTATACGCGTTACGACGGGCGAGACGCCTGTGGAGGGGAGAGTGGGGTCGCCGTTGAGGTAATGAAAAGACTTTGTTTGTTGGCAACAATTCCTCGCATTTGATCAATTTCTTCGGAATCAGCGTTTCATTCTTCAGCTCGTTCAACGAAGGTTATGAAGTGGCGTTAAAGGGAAAGGAGCATATGTATACATAGATAGTGAGGTGCTCGGGCTGCTCAATGTTTAATCGTATTACATCATAAGTGGGTGAAGAGTGCGCGGGTAGCATTTGAGACGTTGGTGAGAGCGAAAGTGGAAAGCTTACGTGCCATGGATAGGATTTCATGGGTCTTTCACTACGGGCGGCGTTTGAACTGGTAGGGGGGGCCCGAGCGGTGTGTTCGACTGTTTTTTTTTCAAGTCCTATATTCGACTCCAGACTTTGTCTACGCCGCTCTACTACCAGTCTCAACGCCGCTACCAGAAGAGTAACGTTCAACTACCGCGAGCGACCATTGGCTTCAACTTTCAACTTTGAGGCGGACGCTGTTGTAGTTGCGGACTCTTCACTCAACCTCTACTCACACCACTGTTCGTCCACCGTCTCAACGAAGTCGGCCTAACAGCATACAACATGTCCCTCCAGAAGCTATCGACCGAGCTTGATGGCCACATCGCCAGCTGCCTCGTCGGCAACACCAAGGCTCTCAGCGCCTTTTCCAAGACGAACAAATACTACCGAGGCATTGCTGAGCCATATCTCTACACGAATGTTGAAGTGTATGAATCTGATCTTGAAAGGCCACTGCGACTGCTCTTCACGTTGTTAGACCGTAAGGAACTCGCCCTTCACATCAAGAGCTTGAGCTACGTACCAGCCCAGCATGGGTCCTCTCACGACGCCGACATAAAGCCGTCGACGAGGAAGGAGCTCCAGTCTGATGTATGGAAGTACACGTACGCGATACAAGAGGTGCTGGACGAAGTTCTCTCTCCAGGATGCGGGTTCTTGGAATTCCTCTCAGCAAAACTGACCTTGTATTGTGACATACTGACGGCTCCCATGGGACACTATCTAGCCAGCGACCAGGTTTTCACGCTCATTCTGTTTATGGCGCAGAAGGTCCAGTATCTAGAACTTGGTTCCAAAGAGCCACCTACACATGTGTTACGTCTCCTTTGGGCACCTTGGAATGACGGCAAAGGCCCCTTTCAGAACGTTAAACGTCTCGTCCACAACGCCGGTCTTTCTCTGATGCCTTCCGCCGTGGTACTGCCAACTCTACGAACACTAGAGTACAACGTCGGGTATTTCGACGTCGCACGAACGACTACGTCGATCTTCCATTATCCATCCCCTATGCCTGCGTCACCCGTCCTCCGCCGAATTCAGTTTACGACAACCAGAAACATCACTCCTGCTATAATCCAGAACATGGTCAGCAACCCAGCAATGGCCAACCTCCGAGAACTCGTAGTAGATGATTGCGGACGCAGCATACGCAACCTGCCTCTCGCTTTACGTGGCGACAACCTAGCCGAACTCCTACGAAGCCTAGAGAAACACACTCCACTCCTAGAACTACTCCAGTGGTCAACTCAGAAGTCCGACCAACAAGAAGGCCACCCACGTTTCGATACGTTCAAAGACCTCACAAACCTCCGCAAGTTACACATCGATTTCGACCTCCTTGTCCCCAAAAGCGACACCAACTCCACCAACTTGAAGTGTCTCTCCAACCCTTACGCCGTCTTCCCCGCAAGCTTGGAAGATTTGACGTTGGACTGCGTTGATATCGATAAGCTCCACCATCTCATCACCATGTTCCACGACTCCATCGAAGAAAGCGACGACATGAGCGAAACTGAGGCACTCCAAATCTGCCTCGCCAGTCTAGCCGCCATGTTTCCTCCCCTTAAACGCCTCGCCCTCGTAGTAGTCATGGAGATGGACAACCCACGTGAGGATGCACCTCGCCTACATGAGTTGGATCCGGCGGATATCACCTTCTTCCGGTACGCTGCAGATGAGCTTCATAAGCTGGGTATCACATTTGAGGTCTGGAGGAAAGAAGGGCATTATGAGAAGGAGAAGAAGTTGTTGGTGAAGAAGGGGTGGACGGCGCCGTTGCCGCATTCGGTGGTGAAGGCTGTGCAGCGGAGGGCTAGTCATTGGTCAGATAACGTTGATGATCTATAGGTTTACAGAGCATGGGCTGGGATAGAGATGTAGTTCGAAACTGGACTACCTCTGGAGTATACGTTGCCTTGAATATAGATCAGTTGTAAATATATAGTATTGTGTATGCTGCAACCCCATCTGTGTTGCAGTGCCATCCATGGATCACTTCGGGATCGCGCACGTGATAATGCGCTTCGCTCCTCCGCTCTTCCCCCCTCCACGCACTCACTTCACTAGCGTCTTATCACGTCACGGCTGCCTATTTACCTCATCCTCTTCCTCTCAGCACACATCAATCATTACCGGTACGCCACCGCACACTCTCCCGCACCCGCGCCGCAACCATGGCAGTGCCCTCGAAAGCGGAGGCCATGATCGACAAGCTGCCGGCCGAGCTGACGATCGACGTCATGAGTTACCTGCGACCTCACGATCTGACTCAGCTGGCGCGCGCTTCGAAGCGGTATCGCGAGTTTGCGCAGTCCGCGCTCTGGACAAGCATCGAGCTCCACCGCCAAGACGCCCACAATGACTGCGTCACCCTTTCCCACAAACAGCCTCCAAGAGCCTACCTTGACGATTGCTTGCTACATCCATGGTGCTACCGCAATTACGACGGGGTGGATGCCGAATACGATACCAGAAACGAGCAGTTTCGTGCTGCCATCAGGGAGATGTATGCGTCTGATGGCAAATCTGAAGCTTGGGTTAGGATCAAGCCGGTCGTACGACACCTGTGCCTCACGGTAACGCATGAGAGCCCGCCCGAGATCTGGAATATGATACTCTCTCTTCCCAATCTCCATACCATCGAGCTCATTGGCGAGTACTCCGAAGATCGGATAGGTCCGCCCATGGCTCTAGGCCTCCTCCCGAAACCGGCGGCAACCAAAGTACAGAATGTACGTCTGAGAGGCTATATCCCCACGGAGTTTGTGTCGGCCATCTGCAAGTCATCAGCGGCTACTATCGTTAGTCTCGATATCGGCGTTCTCGATGAACCAGAGTTCTTCAGAGGCCGCGAATTGGGGCGGACGGAATATGGGGAGACTGTATGTCCGATGTACATGTGTCCTCGAAGTCCCACGTGGTATCATGCGGTTGAATGGCCTCAGTTCACCTCGCTTACTCATCTGCTATTGTGTAAACCTGCTCGTTTCAATGGCTTCCGCAAGAGACCCAATGATGTTGACTACGAAGCCCCTCAACTGCAACAATGGGCGACTATTGGCCCAAAGCAGGACCGGATGAATCCCTACAAGACTTTTCAATGAAGCTGTTACCAGGAGTTCAGGTGAACCAGATCCTAGGTAACTACATGTTCTTCGACACCGAACGCGGCACAATTCTCAACCAACATGGCGCCGACGGACTGAAAGTGCATCTCGAGTTCGACGGAAAACACGATCTTGAGGCTCTCTACGACAGTGACAATTTCACTGATGAGGGCGATTGGGAGTGGAGGGACGCTTCAATAGATTACTTGTACCACTTGTCAACGCGCGAATAGGGAAGATCTGTATGACTTTGCTACATACATCGAGTTCTATAGTCACAGATAGGTAGTGTAGAAGACAATGTATACCTCGGGTCCCAATATGCAGTTTAGTTTCTCTAACACAAGCGTCTATGTAGGCGGCAAGCGACACAATCTCTCTAACCACGAACCTTATTCATGTAGACGTTAGTACCGAGACCCCTTCACTTCATTATCGATCTAACATGCATTTCCATCAATACAGGCTCCTGGATAGACCCCCACGTACTCGCGCACGAGTAGCACGAGCAAAGTGAAAGTGGAAGCAACAGACTCTGAGGATTGCGATCTCTCTTGTTCTATGAGGAGTACCTTTACGTATGTGGTTGTTATGTATTTCGGGAGTCATGAGTGGCTCGTCTCGCTCTGCGTCATCGCAGTACCATGGATGGGATGGAAGAACCGAAGTGAAAGCAACACATCCCTTGCCGCTTGCAAATGACCGTCAGTGCGTTTCGCCGCCATCGTTCCGTATTCAGATCAATAGTGACGGAATAAATCACGTGTTAGCTGGTCCTCACGGTGGGTCTGGTCTTCCAGCAATACCGCGGCCTCTGGGACCCATTTCCACCCATCCACTGCCACTTTCAACAATTCGATCGCGAATTTGCGAGCTCACAAAAGTCTTCAAGCAAAAAAGCCTCGCCATACCCACGGACTAGCAGGTGCACCGCGATGTCTCAGCTACCATCCACGCCCGCGACGCTACCGCGCCCGCCGAAGCGCGCGCACGAAGAGGAATTGGTTGGGCCGGCCAAGCGACAACGCCAACATGGTCTTTGGACGCCGCCTGAGGATTCTACCGACGTCCACGATTGCTACACCCAAACACCCTCGCTTTACATTCCACGACCACCATTGTCACCTCTTGTCCATCCTCCGTACTTAAGCCCGCCGCATACTCACCCATCGGTCCCACTGAACCCACGGGGATCCAACCCAGGATATACGCCTTACCAGAACGGCTTATATACCTCCACTTCAGGGTATATACACGGCGACAACCGACAGTATGGTTCCGGCTCGTCATTACAGCCTCCGATAGCTACTCAGATGGGTTTTGGGAATCTGTACCAAGTCTATGGACCTAACGTAAACCGACACCCTGCTCCAGTGGTACAGCCTGACTTTCCGTGGGGGTTACATCGACCCCAGACTGCGCGCGGGTATGAACAAAAACAAGCCACGCTGCCTACAACGGTCCAACAGCCTGCGGCAACGGCGCTGCCTGGGTATGCGCCGAGACTACATGTAACCCATACTGGGCGTAGTTACCTGCCAACCCACCCTATGGTACCTACAATGGCTGCAAACGATCCGCGTCAGCAACAGCAGCAACGATACACTCAGCAAGTCGTTGGTACACAAGGACCACACCAGTACAGCGCATCTCCAGTCCCAGCCGCGCAGGGCGCTTTCCACCAGACAGGAGTAGAGGAGTTTCGTTCCGGTACCCAAGTCCCCGCTGTGAATGTACAGGCCGCGCGAACGACGCCGCGCACTCAGCAAGAGCAGTGGCTGATCAATGCGCATCCCGACCTTCAAGGAAAGACCGTCATGACCATACCAGCTATTCCTGCTGAGCAAGGCACTCTGGGGGCTGCTGTCCATCCTCGAATTGAATTGCTCGTGCCGCGCGATGTGTGGCGTCTGCGAGCTCTGCCACCACTTCAACGATATATCGCCTACCACCGTATGGAAGAGCTAGGACGTCGGATGAGCCAGTGTGACCAAGCTAGCGAAGAGTACCTCCAGATTTGGAATCGAATCGTGAACGTCCAAACGAGCTTGATGGAGGGAGAGGTGGAGTTGGCGAACAGATTCAAGCAGAACACGGCCGAGACCAGGGCAAGTTGGAGCGAACTCGTGGCATCTCAGGCTGTCGAGACGCCAGTCAATCAGCAAATGCGGGCTGCCTGTCGCTATCGTGCCACTGCATGTGTGACGCCTGCTGAGCATCTGGCGGTCAAGGTTCAGCCATCCACATCTGGCCAAGTGCTGGCACAGCAGAAGCCAGCTACGCAGCAGAAGCCGTTACCGAAGCCTCAGACCCCTATGGCTTCTGCGCCTATCGTTGCATCGTCAGCACCAGAAGAGCCCATCAAACCAGACCAGAGGAAACATCCCCAGGACAAGGTTCCCGTCCCTCCATACCCTCGCGACAAAATCTCGGACTTCACCCCGCACGAAGTAACCGGAATGTACATGTGCAACCACTCATTCGACACCGCAGTCTGCTGCAAAGTAGGGCTTAATAGGAGGCAAAAGATCAATTCAATTGGGAGAACCCTCGCGAAGTGGAGAGAAGAAGTAGAATTCTTGGTCAGAAAGGGCGACTTGCATATCAGCCATATAATGTGGAAGAAGGAACAGTCGCCCAAGCGGAATGAAGACCAGAAGACGAAGCATGCGGAGAAAGAGCGACTGCGGGGTGAAAAGAAGGCGGATGCCAGCGCGAAAAAAGAAGCGAGAAAGGAACAGAGGAAGAAATGGCGAGAGGAGCCACACGATGAGATCGATGCAGGAGCTGCATCTGGACCTATTCTAGCACCAAATCCGCTTAAACAGGACGTCGCGCCTACTTCTGAAATAGATTCTGAGCTTTCTGCAGAAGAAGAGACCGCTGCCGCCGAGACCGCATTTCAAGAAGAAACCGCAAAAAGGCTGAAGAAGTACGAGTGGGATATCAAGAAATGCCGACTCTACGAGAGAGGGAAGAAGTGGCCTAATTGGTCACGCTTCAATGAATGGTGGGCGGTCAAACATCTTGAGGCTCAGGGTTTGCAGCTCTCACCAGAGCAGGTAATCATCTTGAAGGGCGACGAGCCGTCCAGTCTTCGGGACAAGAATCCCGCGTTCGTGAAGAAGAAAGGTGAGGAGATGGTGTCGATGCCGATCCAGGAGCCGGTAAAGGATCCGAGCTTGGATGATCTGTTCGAGGATGCGGATGAAGATGTCGAGCAAGATGATCGAAGATTGGATGATTTGTTTGAGGACAATGGCTCGGAGCAGTAGAAGACACTTCCCGAGCCTGTGTAACTTCTCAAGAATGGCTTCGGCCGATGTTAAAGGTCGTTAGCACAACGCCACGCAAGGCTATAACAGGCGTCCTTGAGCTCGTGGCCAGTGTCGAATATATGACAAAATGAAACCCATTATTCGTATGCAACATCGCCCACCATTGTCGATCTGAAATATGATGTGCTCACATTGTGAAGTGGCGATCGAAGTATGACTTACTCGTATCCATATCTTTCTCACAACGCTCTTGACGGGCCCGTGCAATGAATCGCATTGTGCAGGTCCATGCTCAACACCAACTTCGTGACGTCTCTCGTATTAACGATGCCGTTGTGCTTGGTGCGTGCACGACGTCACGAAAGGAGAACCTAGTCGTAGTTCTCTTCACTCTGGGGAGAATGCACAGATCCTGGAACCTAGATAGTTAGTCCAGTACTTTTATACAGACCGCTGGGGTCACATTTACCAGTGGACACCCCCGTCTACCTGCCCACCCACGAAGTCTTGTTACTCATATAACAAGATGCAGTCTTACGCGCACAACAAGGGCAACTACGTTTTCGTCCGCCGCAAGCGCACAAGATCGGTCGAAGTCCGCCGCGCAGACGATCTCCACCGCCACTCCCTATCCTCCTTATCATCCGAGGAACGCATCTTGCATTATGTTGGTGGTGAGCGTAACCGCGTCTGCCGTTGTCATGATGCAGGACGACATGGCGAGAGGACGTCCACCGTAGCATGCGAGTCGAGGCATCTGAGCGCTAGCATTATGCTATACCTGGAACGCCATGGCCTCGAATCTTGCAGCTTCGCTGACTTCCGGAAGTATCGCGCAAGCCGAGAAGCGAAATGGGCGATGGAAGGCGTATTTGTTGAAGACTTTCACTATACCAGCAGGAACAAAGACTTCGTATGTCGCTGCTCACAACCCAGGAAGCATAGCTATAGCAAGCCGCGCCATCCTGAGATCGTCGAGCAATGCGCGGAGTTCTTTTGTATGCACAAGGATAAGAACACCGTTTCGAAGGACCAGTGGAAGGGCGTGAATGGCGATGAGCCCCCGGCGTACACACCCAGTGTAGACTTGTTATCCGGTTCCGTGCCTGATTCGCGGCCAAGCTCGTCAGGACATGTTGGGGAGAAGTCTAGACCACGAGCCTCGCTAGAGACGAGGATACGTGACACTGCCGAGCGTATATCTTCGATCATCCCAGGCCGTCATCGTAGTGCTTCAATTCCAGCAAGGGAGCCAGAGATGCCGCCTCAAGTATGGCAGAAGGGTCGTCCATCAGTCTTGATCTCTCAACACGGTAACTCTTCGCGTGATAGCACGCCCATGGGCTCGGCTCCCCCATCTACGCGCGCAGCCTCACCGGCAGTGCCGCACACGCGCCATCATCGGGTCGATTCCGTTATCGATTCCGTTCACGACACGTCCTCGATCTATGCAGATGCCCAGGCCACAATGGGTATGTTTCCGGGAATCCAGACAGATGCAAGTGTAGCAAGGGCTAGAGATATGCTGGGCGTGACTGGTCTGTACACGAACAAGACGAACACTCCCACATCCACTAACCTATCTGTAGTGAGTGGGCAATCCAGTGTTGGGACCATTAAAAGCGAAAGGTCGCCACCGTTTGCCTATGACGAATGGTACCGGGGCAACCCACCTAACTGGGTGGTTGAGAAGGACAGCGAAGAGCTACTACCGTCGACTTTCTACGTGAACGGCGATAGAGCGAATTCTTTCGGTTTCGATGCGTCAGCGACTCATAGACCAATGGCAGAACTTCCTGCGCGTGGATTGCCAATTGAACTTCCCGCTCGCAGGTCGCCTGTCGAACTTCCAGGTAGGCTAGCCCCCCTACGGCATACTGCAACGCTAAAAAAGCTTGAAGGTCGAACTTGGGATACGAGGTCGGAGTTGGAGGCCAAGGCCAAACGCTTCAGCGTTCGGTGCGCAGAAGCACCCCCTAGTACGTCCACTCCTGCACACGACACCGAACGATTAAGCTCACGTTTCCACAAGGCTTCCGACACCATCCCGTCTTCACTTCCTGATCAGGTGGATTTCCTTGAGCGTTGTGCTGTGCCGAATTCTTGGAAAGACCCTACACCTACTGGGAATTGCCAGCTGTGCTTCAAGTCTTACCATGACGCAGAGGAGAATCCTGCCATAGCACCTCCTTGCGGTTGCTCCATGCATGATCGGTGTCTCATGGACAACCTGCGTACGCTTGATGAGGAAGTCGGCAGGTGTCCAATATGCCAGGTGCACTTGTGCAACCGCAGTCTAGCCGAGCGCGTCGGCAATGACATCGAACAGATCTTTGAGTTGCAAGTCAATCCATTACGAGAGGAGGTCACCCTCGAATTCCCACAGCGAAGTAAGGGCATCATATGTAGTACGGAGGAGGGCGTTGCTGTCACGCAGCTTCGTCTGCTCAAGGACTACGTCGATGTCCACGCCGAAGAGCTCTTCCGTTTGTGGGAAGGTAATCGTGCAGAACCCGACTGGTTTGGAGGCGTAGTACGTCCCGCCGTCCAACTCTTCCAAGGGTGGAACCCCGCAATGCGAAGTCGCTTCCTCTCAAATGAGGACGCTTTCCTCAAACTCCTCGCATGGGCAGAGCTGGTGCGCTTGATGAATATCAGCTGTGCGAAGAAGAAACAATCCGGGGGTAGCGATGCACGGTTTCCGCGATTGGGAGAGTTGCATCGTAAGTTTTTAAAGGCCGTTGAGCGATACAACAAGGAGAAAATGTCTTGGGATACGAGTCGCTCTGGTGTTTATGAACACGACAGGATCGCCACGGATATTGTCGAGGTCGCGATGAACACTCAGGTGCCGTAGACGATCATATATAATACTACAAATGTAATTAGTTCGCATTCATCGAAGTATCGCAAAGCCATGGATTGGAAAGTATATACGCGTCGTGATCCAGTAACCAGCTGCACGATCCTGATCCCGACTGGTTTGCCCTGCGAGACGCATAACACATTCGCGACGTGTCATTTGATCAATAGCGACTCGGCAGGGACGTGCGAATATGTTGATCTGGAGCATAAAGGGTTGGTTGCGCCTCGGCATCGTCTGATGGCGTGATAGATGAAACAAGACGCGAGGCGAGGATCTGATTGAAAGCGCGATGATCCGTGCACGGAAGAGCTCCACCGCGTCAGGTGCAATGATCGCCCACCAACATCGAGCTGCGCTCTGCCCAAGACCAATGCAATACTGAATGCCACGCTTAAGTTTATTTGCCCTTGATTGTGCTGTGGAAGAGTTCTGAATAGGCCTCATGTGGGCAGAGTCATGACGTCATACCCACTTGTCCTCTCGGAGTTCTCTTTCACACACGAACCTGAGCGCGTCGCTACTCCCACACCTTTCGTGCCTCGACGATGGACGACTGATTCGTCCTGGAGCTACCTTCGTCCATGCTAGATGCGAGCGCGCCCGTAAATCCATCAACATGAGTACCGGACGCCCCTTGCCATATCACTCGTCCACACAATAGAGTTGCAATGCTGTGCACTCAGCTAATGACCACTCGACCCTCAGAGGAGTGACGACGCGCTCACAAGCATCAATCTCACATTGCCTTCAGCAGTCGTTCGTGAGAGCACTACATGGAACGATCTCTCGTTCGTCCAAGCCTCCGGCTATTCTCCCAAGGACAAAAGGCACTGGCTATAGCACGGCCACCGTATACCCTGCCGGATTAATTACTTCCAAACGTCCGCCCGCTGAACGACTGACTCCCCACATCATTTGCGCTCGTCGCATTGACAAAGCAGCCGCCTCTGCTGAGATTGGGGATTAATTGCAGTACGCAATGTGACCGAGAAGCTTAATTCGAAATGCCAGATGAATTGGTCAAATACCGCTCGTCAGCCGCAATGCGACATTCCCATCCCAGTCGATTGAAACTTTGTTTCTTGCCATGATGTTTTACGCATCACTTCTTTCGGTCGCGTTTGCGACACTTTCTTTGATTTCGCCTACCGTCAATGGCCGTGCGATTGACGCGGTCGAGAAGATGCAGGATGGGTCGCATTGGATCAACACATGGACGAGTATGCCGCAATTGGTGGAAGCTAGCAACATGCCACCAGCGCCTTTCGTATGCAATCTGAACTGTCCAAAGTTGAACTCTAGGTATTCTAACATGATCACAGAGTTCCGGCAGCGTGATGCGCGATGCGACGCTCCGCCAAACCCTCCACATGTCCGTTGGCGCACCGAAGATCAAGATCACCATCTCGAACACTTTCGGCGGTTCCGACCTTCCCATCACTGCAGGCTCTGTTGGTCTTCCTGCAGGTGGCGCTGCGGGCGTCAGTGGCATGCAAGCTTCACCTCTCGCAGCCATTACCGTTGGTGGCAAGACCAGCTTCACAGTGCCCAAGGGTCAAGTCGTTACCAGCGATGAGATTGCTTTCGAAGTCAAGCCTCAAAGTATGCTCACCGTGAGCTTGTACAGCCAACAAGGACAGAGCGGAGGCAGCATCACTGGTCACCCCGGCAGTAGGACGACGAGCTGGTTCGTCAGTGGAAGCAAGGTCAATGCCACGACTTTCTCTGGTACTCAAAGTGTGCACTGGTACTTCGTCAGCGCAGTACAAGCCTACGTACCAACCACCACGCGCTCATTGATGGTCCTCGGTGACAGCATCACCGACGGAAGAGGTTCAGACGACAACAAGAACAACCGGTAAGCACTATCCAACCCCGCAAGACTACTTCCCGTCTAATACCACCGCAGCTGGCCTGACCTCGTACTCGCCCGTCTCCAGTCCACCAACCACACCAACATAGCCGTCTGCAACCAAGCCGCCGGCGGTAACACAGTCCTCAGCGGCGGTCTCGGCCCACCTCTCCTGACACGGTACAAGCGCGATGCCATCGAGCAACCCGGCGTGAAATGGGTCATGGTCTTCGAAGGCGTCAACGACATCGGTGGTAACGCCAACACCGCTACTGCGCAAACCTCTGTCGGCGACCGCCTTATCGCTGCGTTCAAGCAGATCGCTGCTGATGCGAAGGCAGCTGGTTACACGACTATCGGCGGTACGATTGCGCCTTTTGCGGGTAATGGGTATGAGGGTGTTGAGAGGGAGAAGACGAGGAAGAGGGTGAATAAGTGGATTTTGGAGAGTGGGAACTATGACTTCACGGTTGATATTGCGAGTATGGTTGCGGATAAGACGAATGCGGAGAGGTTGGACAAGAGGTACGATAGTGGTGATGGGTTGCATCCGAGTGTTGCGGGGTATCAGGCGATTGCTGATGCTTTTCCTATTGAGATCTTTAGGAAGTAGACGCTGATGGGAGAGAGCGCTTGGCGTAGGATATGTTCCTCTTCCAACATTATTAGAAGCCATTACGGAAACTAGTCACTGACGTGTATTTGGAATTGATGATACAACTCGTTCGCCACTAATACCCGTTGTTGAATGTTCGTCATGATGAGTCGCTTAGTCCGTTCGCTATCATTCCTTTGCCTTAGACTCCCAATACAAGCGGTGTTTCTCCAGCACATGTTGAAATTGAGGCTGCTCAGACACCAGTCGCTGCAATCCAGCAATTGCTTCACTTGATGGCTCGCATTTGACCATGTTAAGCAAACTATCAATGAGGCCGTGAAGTTCACGAAACATATTGCATCGTTCTCCAGACTGCCAAAAGCTGACACAAAACTCTCGGACGATCGGTAGCAAAGGCTCTGCGGGCATATCAAGGTTTGGAGTCAGGCCATTCGCGTGACGCCTTGCTATCTCCAGATAATCGGCATCGTGCTTGACAGCAAGATCTCGAGCTGTTTGACCGTCGGTTCTTTTAGCCTCGATATCTTCCACAGTCATGCTTTGTGTCAGTGTGGCAAGAATTGCAGGTCTGTTTTCGCCGCCTCGTTGTATCTGGCTACAAAGCCAGTGCATTGCGTTCTGACCAGACTCATCATACAAGCGCGCATTAGCACCTTTGCGAAGGAGATAATTGACTAGGCTGAAAACCCCCTTTTTGCAGGCGATGTGTAACGGTGTTACTCCTGTGGAAGTCTGAATGTTGACAGCTGTTCCAAACGTTTCTACAAGTGCGATGACAGGATTCCACACCGTCTTTTCGGAGTCGGAGGCGGAGTCGGAGTCCGAATCCTCATAGAAGTCGTCCTGAAACGAGCTATCGAGTGATAGACAGGATTTCCGTGTGGCAATATGTAGGGCAGATTCTCCGTTTCTGTCCAGCATGTGATTGACGATCTCAGAAGACTCTGCAAACTTGCTAAAGACATTCCAGCAACGCCGCAGATCGGACGCATGGGATGTTGCTAGTAGATGGAGAAAGGTACGACCATTCTCGTCAGTCTCGTTGATGGAACCACCTTCTCGTAGAAAAGTACTGAGTAGGATGTGCATGACTTCGGGCTGCTCAATGGTAGCAGCGATATGGACAGGGGTTCCACTCCATTTCGCCAATTGGGCTTGACCGATATCCTCTTCATCTTGATCGAAGTCACCGAAGTCACGATCCAATCCGTCTAGCATACTTTTCGTAATACGAGTAGAAGACTGGACTCTGGTTCTTGATCCATGACGAATGAGCATTTTGACAATGTCAGCTCGACTTTGGTAAGCAGCGATGTGCAAGGCTGTCTGTCCGGTCACATCTCGAGCGTTCGCATCGGCACCCTGGACTAATAACCATTCAATGACGTGCATATGGTATTTAGCTGTAGCGTAGAAGAGAAGTGTTCGATTATCACCGTCTCTGATATCCAGCTCCATGTGGAATTGGTGGTGAGCGTACTTGAGGAATGCAAGCAGGCCGTATAGGGCAGCGATATGTGCCAGTTTGACTCCTTTCACCGGTAGATGATCGCACGTTGTACGGCACTGTAGTTGCAACCATTGAGTATGATATTGGTCGTTTGAGTCAAGTATCGGATGGTAACAGTTGAGGCGATGAAGGTTTCCACCATGGCACATGTGTTCCAGGCTGTGATATATGGCGTAATGCAATAGCGGGTGTTGAACACTCATTACTTGATGGTTACTGAGATCTTCGAAACGAACATCGTCATTCTGGACGGAGTCAAAGCTTTGCAAGATCTGGTACTGGTAGTCAAAGAGGCGCCGAGTTAATCGGTCATGTGTGGCGGCTGCCTGGAGACGAAAGGTTCTCAGATCGGGATCATATTCTGAAACGTTTTGAAGGAAGTCCAACAGAGATGAATGTACCAGTGTAACGCTGGTTCTTACCACTTCGTGGTTGTCTTTGTCAACCCGCGTCGCTATCGTCAATAGATCTGCAGCATAAGCTACCTCATCCTTGATCGCCTCTTCCAGGGTTTGGCCCCTCGCAGGCATTGTGCCGACGGCGGTAGCCAGCTCGACGAGGCTTAGTGGACGAAATGTGGTCGTGATCCACTGCAAGATTGCCATAACCTTGTCTCTTTCATGCTCGGAGATTGCCAACAACATGCGACGGTACATGGCATCGAGTCCACGTGGGAATGAGTCGACTGTCTTTTCCATGTCAATTACTCGCACCTTCTTCAAGGCGTTGACTGCGAAGCCAACCCATAAAAAAGTGCCTTCCGATCGATCGCACAGCCGATTCTTAATGTAATCGCGCGCTTCTGTTGGGCATCGCAAACTGGACATACGGTCGTCCAAAAATTTGGAGATGTCTAACCCGACATGTGGCTGGTTATCGGGTTCAAGACGCAGTCGAGGAAAAGTATCCATTGCTTGCTCGATAGAGTATGGGTGATTGCGGCTGACAACGAGAAGTCTGAAGGAGTGAGAAGAGCCCGCAGATCTTCGTTCAGAAGCCGGCTCGTATAGACTCTGAATCTTCACCCAGAAGTCTTCTAGACCCTCTTCATCGCATTCGTCTAAGCCGTCCAGAATGCATGTAATGGGTGCGACATTCTGGTCGTGCAACATCCGAGCGAAGACGGCCCAGAGGGCTTGAAACTTTCTGTCATCGAAAAGACTAGTACCGTGCTTGTCGTAGTCATCCAGGACATGCTCAAACAGCGATGGACGTTGAGAGAGCAGTTGATAGATAAGGCCGCGGAGAATAGAAGCACCATTGTTCCTTCCGTGGTCTCGACTGCAGAAGAAGTGGACGACATTCATAGCTGAAGAGTGGCCTTTCAGGCTGCTGACGAGATGAAGAGAAAGCATAGTCTTCCCCTTGCCGGCATCTCCGGAGATCCATAGTAGGCCGGAAGACTTGGCGATCCAGCCCTTGTATGCGTCTGTTTCCGAAACCCACTCACAGGTACCCAGTGTTTTCGGTCCTTTGCGGTCTTCGAGCATCTGCCGGTAGTCGTCTGGATCATCCCCCAAAGCTGCCAGGAGGTCTCTCAGGCATGATTTGCGCGCGGAATCCTGCTGTGTAGCGGTGTGAAAGTGGTTGATGTTACCGACGTGCGAGCCGTCTCCAGTGACGATAGACCCTTGGTTCAGGGTAGACCCGTGGGTATTGTCCCCAATGAACGTGAATGAAGCATTGTCGCTCATCTTTGGCTACTCGTAGTGTCTTGGACATCTGGTGCTAGGCATCTCGTCCTCTAATGAGTCGAAAAGTTATGAGTTTGCTGTCGACAAACTCGTATCGCGTGGTACTGCGCTGTCCCGTATGGGCCCCAGCAATCATGCTTGTATCCGCAAACTTCCACGCAAGCGAGAATCCTCATCGTCGCGCAGACGACGCGCAATAGCAATTCAGGTCGTGCTTGTCGAAAGCATCACCACTAAATTTTGAAGTCCTCGGCATCCTCCTCTGTATCCGCCTTCTTCCAGAGCTCATCTCCCCCAGCGACTCCATTCTCATCAACATCCCAAGAGTCATTTTCGACTTGCTCCCACCAGTTGATCAGGATAGCAGTCAACGGCGTTCCCCAGCCAGGTACGAAGGGATTACCTACGCCGCGTTGATACAATACATCCTGACCCGGCTCATAGGCTTTTACTTTGGTATCATCACCTCGCAGGACGTGACCGTTACTCCCGAGAGGAAATGGCAGCAGTAACGTGCCGCAATACGAGTAGAAGTCGTCGGGTTGAATGTATATTCCTCCGCGATTGTCCAAAATGTTAGATCCACGTTTAGAGTTCCAGTTCTCCTGGTCGCGTTCCGATAGGAGTTCGATGCCTGATGTGCGCCAAGGGAAAAGCAGAAACATGCGACTTCCGGATATCTCGTGTTGCGGCTCTTCGAGGGTGGCATCTGGGTATATCTTCTGCATCTCCGCTCCTATGCGATGGATGAAGTTCTCATCAGGTACGTCGATTTGCGGTGCGATAGATTTGAACGGAGGTTTCTTAGCTTTTGAGAGAAAGGTGCGCACGAATGGCGGAATCGCCGGGTACTTATCCAAGACCTCGGTAGAGATCAAAGGTTTTTCATGCTTCCTCCTCTTCTTGCGCTGGGGACTTTCGTCTTCTGTCTGGTCTTCATCCTCTTTCTTTTCCCCACGCATGTCGGATGCAGGCAGCCTCTTCGCAATCGCATCAACCAAACTACCCCACACACTCAGCACCTGATCCATCTCTTTCTCCGTACACAGCTCAACTCTCCACCCCTGCGTCGCAAGATTATCAGGTTCGCCAAACCCAGGGTTTTGCGTATCTATAACAAACTTGCCAGATTCGACGCAGTCCCAATAGAGTTGTAGAACTTCATCAAGATCAGCCCACGGAAGCTTCATCTCATCGGGTTCATAGGGTGAGGTAAATGCGTCTTCCAAGTAGGTAACCTGCTGCGTTTCTAGATTGTAGACTAACCCAGCTGGATCATACCCCGTGTTCTGGTACAGCACGATGAGATCAGCGTGGTCATCATCCCAATCCTCCCATGACTGGGTTCGCAAACCGTAACGACCGTGAGGGTTGACGATGCCAACGAGGACTGGGTTAAAAGCCAGATGGTTACTGGCGTCGTTGGGCACGACTAGATCGATGCCAGATAGGAATTCTGTGAGTTCATCGTCAAGATTGAATTCGAAGCCTGGGGAAGCTGGGTCTATCGAATGTACGGCGAACCAATTGCGCTGGATGGTGGGTTGGTGTTCGGGTGGAAGGTGCGAGCGGGCATGGGCGACAATGCGATTGTGCAACTCGACGGACTTTGCGACGTCCCAACTCATGCTGGAAGTGATGGCAGAAAGAAAGGCAAGAGGTTGTATCCAAAGTACCATGGAAGTAGCTGCAGTCGGATCACCGCAAGACGAGCCGAACCCAAGACGTTGAAGGTTTCCAGGCAGAAGCTCGCGTGAGTGTCGAAGGAGCCGAGTAGCCGGAAAACGCACAGATGTCATGGCGCGTTGGGAAGCTGCTACTGCCTAACCCGGATAGTCAAGACGAGGAGTCGCGGAAAGTAGATGGACTGGTATTCAAGTACAAACGCTGCAGAGCATAACCGCAACCATGCCATCCCATCATGACCATGCAATATCCCAACCCTAGACCTAACAAACAACTATTAAGCCATCACTCCTCCATCTTCTCCCCCCCAACAACCCCCGCATTCCCCTCCCCCAAATGCTTCAAAAGCCAACTCCTCTTAAAATACGTATTCGGATGCACAATCGTATCCAAATCATTACTACTCCAGCTCCCCTCCTCCTTAACCTTCTTAATCTCCTTCTTGTGACTCCACTCAAACACACGATTGCACGCAACATGATACCGTTGTTTGCCCACATCCTCTTTAACCGTCTTGAGCACATCCCTATCATTGACACCCACACGCTGCAGCATGGTGAGCAGGTTTTCCGGGCTGAACGTGCGGTAGGGGCAGCCGTGCGATTGACCAGCACCAGGCAGGGCCTCGGTGAGGAGTTTCTGGCACGAGTACGGTGTGTAGCCGCGGCCGCGACGGTTTGCATCGCCGCCCACGTCGCCGTAGGCGTGGCGGATGTTGTATTTGTATTCTTTTTGGAATTTCTCGTCGGTGATGAGCTTGAAGCTGCGGCGCCAGAAGACGAGGCATTCGTCGAGGCTGAGGCCGATGCCTTTGAGGAAGAGGGTGTATTGCAGACGGCCGAAGTGCTTGAGATGCGAGTCATCGCGCAGTCTGTTGTGCAGGTTGCGCATGCAGAGGGGGAAGTGTTGGGAGAGTATGTCGATGCTGTTTGCGGTGATGGTGGAGAGGCCGTCGATGTTGGCGTCGGAGGTGGAGTAGGCGGCGTCGGGGGTTGTGAAGGATTGGGAGAGGTGGGCGAGGATGGGGGCGAGGCGGTCGTCTTCGTCGAGGCGGGGGAGGGCGCGTGCTGTTAGCTGTGAGGTTGTTAGCGATACCTTCAGATATGTGTGTAGCGGAATCCATACCTCTAGTGCCTCGTCCAGCTTCTTCGTAAACTCAGCAACCACCAGACTCATCTGTTCTCGTTGCGGAACATACGCCATTCCCCTCTTCAAAAGTACCTTCCGTTGCGCAACAAGTTCAGGTACCCTCTCCCAATCAACCTTGAACCACTCCTGATCCTCAGTCTTCTTAATACCACTCGCCGCATGCAACTCATCCCTCAGCTCCCTCTTCTCGTCTTCCTTAACCTCTGTCCAATCCAGATTGAGGCTGTTGACGAATTGCTGCCGCTCTCGCAGATCATCATCCTTGAACCGCAGTGTAAACAGCATAGTCTCCAGCCGCGAAAACCGCCGTCGCAGGTCCTCTGTTGACGAAAACGCAAGGCGCAGTATGAAGTGTGAATAGTGATCTCTCCTCCGCTCTTCCTGTAGTTTCTGACTTCTTGAGGAATCCGATCGCAGTGGAAGGTACTTCTCCAGTATGCTCTTCATGTATTCGGCGGTCTCTTCGGGGCCTTTGTTGCGGAAACTGCAGGCTTCGAGTTCGGAGAGGACTGCAGCGCACACTGTTAGCACGATCAGGTAGTCGTGATGAAAGGCGCATACCCTTCAGCCTGTTGATTGCCCATGTCTCAAACTCTTCCAGTGTAATCTCTGCGGTGGGTGGCAGCGTGTAGAAGTTCAGTCGGTGTTCATAGTTCTGCTGCTGGAACTCTGCTTTCTTAAATTGTTGCCTCTTAGGATCGATTTGCGCGCGTCGCTTGGGGTCAACTCGAGAGTAGTCGTGGCGGATCATGATGTTGAGGTTTCTTGCGTTGTTCGGCGGCTTGCACGTCTCCACGGTTGATGGGGGTGTTAAAGTGGCAGGCGCGTTCGCGTGCACGCGTAAAGCACGCTAGCCATATGTAGCGCACGCGCTGTTCGCGTGTCTGATTGGGTCATCATTGCTTGCCATGTTCCTAGACCCAGCGGTTCAGAATGGCATGCGAGTCTCAGCATCGTTTCCCTGTATTCTATACCGAACCCTGTCTATGCCGTTGCAACCTTGCTTCTAGGTGCAGCCCTGCTCTCATAACATCATTGCTCAGCCCATGAGGTCACCCAGCGCGTTCACATAAGCCATCGGAACAGTTGTCGCACCCTCAGCCAGGAAGTCCTCCTTCTTGCTAACGCCGGTAAGCACAGCCAGAGTCCCGCCCAGCTTTCCGTCGATACCGAATTGGATGTCCGTGTTCAATCTATCGCCCACCATGCATGTTCTGCTTCGGTCGAACTTGAACTTGCCTTCTATCGCATCCATCATAGCCTGACTTGGCTTGCCCAGCGACAATGGCGCCCTACCGATAGCTTTCTCAAGTGCAGCACCTGATGCGCCAGCACCGGGGAACAGTGAATGCGCATTTGGCAGTGTGCTGTCGATGTTGGTCGCGAGATATACCGCACCACGTTGTAGGTACTGGAACGCGATTGCCGTCTTCAAGTAGTTGGAATGGAAGTCCAGACCACTCAGAACGACGCCGACATCTGGATCGAGTAGGCTGCCATTTGCAATAGCCTCGAAGTCCTCTGGCTGCCGGAACTCGCGCCGGTAGGCAGGGTCTGTACCACCAATGTATGGGACGCCTTCAGCTTCGAGCTCCTGTTCCACGCCTGACTCTCCTAGCACGAATACCTTGTTCTTCGGCGCGGGGAGCTTGAGGATGCGAGCGATGTATACGGCGGCGCTGTAGGACGATCCGAAAACTTCTTCCTGATATCGTGTCAGCCTGTGTTCATACTTTGGGCTCCTGCTTACTTACCACCTGGGCGGGGATACCAAGTTTTTCGAACTTCTTCCTGTAGTCTGCGCGCGACTTGGTGCTGTTGTTTGTGACAAAGACGAGTTGTTTGCCTGGGGTCAGTTAGTTGGAATTCCATAATGTTGCGTAGCAGGTAAGTGTCTTACCTTTACTCCTCAGCATCTCGAGGGTTTCTGGGACCTTCTCGTATAGGTGATCGCCGGACCAGAGGACGCCTATCCTTCGTCACGATCAGTAGATGGCCACGGGTTATACGGTGATCACGAGCAAGAGACAGGAATGTAGGAATAAGGCTGGCGCATACCATCGCAGTCGAAGAGGAAGACCTGAACATCTCGTCAGTGAAGTGTCCGGCAACCGGAGATTCTAGGCGCATACATCGAACTTGTCCAGGAAGTCGTCTATGGCTTT